CACACACACTTCCTCTAACCTTATACCCCATAGCGAAACACGTGTTCCTTTCACACTCACCCAATTCAAACAGATGGGAAGTAAGGAGAAAAGAATAGGAAATGAGACAGTGGGAGGGAAGGGAATGATGGAGCTGAGGAAGATGAAAAGATTTACAAGGACGAGGGGAGAAAAAAGAACAGCAGGAGAGAAGAGCGTAAGAAAGAACCAAAAAGAAAAGGAGAGAAGCGGGGGATACATGATTCTAAAAAAGGAAGGGGAAATGAATGAGGAGGGAAGTTGAGCGGAACAAAAGTCATAGAAAAAAGACAGATGTACTTAGATTTACTACAGAAGAGAGTACAAGCCGTTTCGAACAGTATTAAACTAATTTCAAATACATTCCTTGTGGGGGTTTTCGTGTGATTTAAAGATAAAGAGGAGGGACAAGGTGGAGACAGGCGTTGCACTGAGACAGAATGAGGAGGGACGGAAAGAGAAAGGAGGGCACAAGTGTTTTTGCAATGTTCATGAACATGAAGTAATGAGAAGGGAAAAATTGCTGCAGGCAACAGAACTGGCCAGGCGTTCACTTTGAACACACACACACACACACACACACACACACATAGTCTCTCAGACCGACGCTATCCAGCTACTGACTCTGCAGGGGGGGCAGACACAAGGGGGAACCCAGCGAGAGACAGCGCATTGTATCTGAGATCATTGCATTAGGGAGGTCACAATAACAAGCAAATCAGACTAGAAAGTGGGACAGAAAAACAGACAAACGCGGATTAGTCAAGACAAACGGACCGTCTCCGTCACACTAAAAATAGATTGCAGGTTGCAGTGGAAAATGAATGGTCACAGAGATGTAAGGCATTAATATAGATTAGCAAACAAAATTGTGAAAATATATTTGGTGTACTTTAATTTTGCTATACCATAAATAGAAGAAATTATAATTTTTGGCGTATTTCTTCACACAGTTGCCATGCAGGATTAGTGAAATTTATAATAAAAGCTGCTACAACCATCATTCATTTTGTGTTGATTTTATCGGTCCCTGTGGACTAAAGCGGTAGCGGTAGTCCCGTTAGCAAACCTCTCATTTTACTGCAGAAGGACTCGCTCAGTCCTGGTTCTGGTTCTCCCTTGCCTCTCTTTCCAATACGGCCTGGGCCACCCAGCAGCATATCGGTGTTAGCTCCCAGCGGACACTGGCGGAGCAGAGAGGTTGAAGCTATGCTCCTGCGAAACTAGCCAGTTCGTCAATCAAGTACATTTTTGACATCGCGCAAAGCCCAATACAAGTCAGAAGAAAATGCATATAAAAATCCTAAAAAGACACTGTCAGTCGCAGTTATGAGCACAAAGCGAAAGCCGTGTAGCAGCCAATGCAGACAGCTGTATTGATTAAAATCACACGCATGAGACGGACGTAAACTTGGGCTTAAACATGTCTGATGTAGGCAGCTTGTTACAAACTCACATAACTGTTCATGGACACGCTCACACGTGTCTAAATGCACTTTGCATGCCAGAATACACACACGCTCTCTCTTAATGTGTTCCTATTCACTTTCTCTTCATTTACTCATGCAAGCACGCAAGCACAATAGCAGACACTCAAACAGACTGGAGAGAAATGGGTTACGATAAGAAGCTTAGACAGTGTGTGTGTGTGTGTGTGTGTGTGTCTGGATGTTTGGTCATGGTTGACTGGAATAATGGTCCAGTTGGTGCGACCACATCCACTCCATATCCTGTGTATGTGTGTGTGTGTGTCAGTATTAATATAGAGGGTATTACAGTCATTCAGAAATGAAGAGCCCCAGATTACCCCCCCAGATCACTGTGTGCGCATTTGTGTGTGCGTGTGTGTGCCCGTATGATGATATCTAAAGCTTGTCATAACTGTTAAACCACCCAACAGTGATGCTGCCAACAGATTCTACATCTGCCTTTCTCTCTCCTATTTTTCTGTCACTAACACACCTTCAATTTTCTCTTGGTTACTATTGCTTTCTCCAAGCTCAGTTTGATTTCCCACTTTTTTCTCTCTGTCACTGTCCTTATTTGTTTCAGGAGCATACAAGTGTACAGAGAATGTAGAGGGAACAGGCTTTTGAATGATTCACATTGCTGGCTTGGAAATACACCTGTTTTCAAAGAAGAAATCATTTTATTAGATCATTTAAATGAATGATTTGATATTTTCTTTGGTATTTCTGTCATGTACAGATATGCAATGAAGATATCTGGATAATATGTATGTTGATTTTGTCTAATGTCAAGTCTATTTGATCAAGAGCCAATATGGTGTGTGTGTGTGTGTGTGTGTGTGTGTGTGTGCTTTTTATAACCATCATGCACTGGGGCCCGACGTAAGGCCCTTACTACACTGATTTGCTTCCTTCCGTCTCACTTGAATTCCTCAATCTCTTCTTTCTTTTTTTAAGGCTAAGAGCAATATATATATTTTTTGAGGTTGTGTCTGCATTTTCCCAGGTTGCTAGTTGGGATGCAGCATCTTGCACAAGTGCACTTTATATACACGAGCAGATGCATTGTTCTGTTATAGACATCCAGACTTCGGCTTTCTGGAACTCAATCCTCTAAAGTGTTGCTCTCACGCTCTTACTCTTCTGTGTCTTTGTCTTTACAGATGACACAGTATTAATACAATACTGTGTTACCGCTTTAAAAGCCTGCTTTAGTTAAAATGCATGTTACGTGTTTTTTTTGCTGGTAATCTGCAAATCGTATTCCCTACATGGTCATTTTGAGGATATATCCCTCTTGGCTTAGAGTTCTACCCATAAGATCGAACTCTACATAAAACTACTGCTACTTAAGCGCTCAAGTGAAGACCTAATTGTGCCCAAAATACATCTTCTACATATTTTCCAACATTCACATCAGCTGCATTTAAAGTAGTTAACGTGGAGTTAATCTCTCATAACCTTCTATCTGGTCAATAAAGCTGAATTAGCTATACTGGGAGTAATTCAATTGTTATTCAGGTACTTAGTTTGAAAGCACCTTCCTCTAAAAACACCACCTCTGAGTATGTGCCCTGGATAATATCATCACGTTGAAGTAGAATCACAGTCTATGGTGTCAAACCGCTCTAAATAAATGTGTTTTTTGTGTCTCCGTCTTCATCACAGGCTCAGACTGTTCCCGTAACTTCACCAGTCCCACGGGTCTCATTGAGTCCCCGGGCTTCCCCGACAAATACCCCCACAACCTGGAGTGCTCCTTCATCATCATTGTCCCCTCCAGCATGGATGTGACCCTCACCTTCCTCACCTTTGACCTGGAGAACGACCCCCTGCCGGGCGGAGAGGGGGACTGCAAGTACGACTGGCTGGAAGTGTGGGACGGGCTCCCAGGAGGTGAGATGATGATGATTTTATATGACAATGACAATGAAGGTGCAGAGACAACTGTTGGTGATGAGGAGCTTGATGAAGGTGTTAAACAATAATTCAGCCGATTCACTTGTCAATTCACAGAGCAAATTTAAAATGGTGCGTATTCTGCCCTGCCTACATCATTATTGACTGAGGTGGAGTAGCAACTATTTTAGTAGCTATGCGTTGGATGAAAGCTAAGCTTACAGGCAGGATGGTGGCACCTACAGTGGAGAAGCAACATAACGTTTCAAGGGGAAAATGAAATAGGAGTTGTGAGAGGAGGGAGAAAAGGGGGGAGGTGAGAGGAGGAACGGTAGAGGGTGAGGATATTTCTAGACTCGCTCCTGGAAGGAGTGTAAGAGTTTAGAAGAACAAATCTAAGGCTCAGAGACCTTGGATCTAGTTTCAAGAGATGGAAGAGGCAGATAGAAAAAGAAGAGCAGTGGAAGGGCAGGGAAAGGTCCTCCACTTGCTGGGAAGACTGGACCAAAGGAGAAGTTGAGATGAGTAAATGAAAGCCAGTAGAGCACTGAATAAAGAGGAATAGGAAGATTTTTAGGGAGTTCAGGAAGCTGGAACGGAGGAGGAAGGAAGATTCATTTTTGACGATAAAGCTTTTCTCCAATATTTTATTCTATTCTAGTTTTGATCATTTCTTTTTTTGTAGTTTGTTGTGTTATACATATTATTTACATGCCATATTTAGTTTCACAAATTGAACCATTTGATAGAAGAGATTTTTAATTGCTTAATTCCCAAATCTTGTAAGGTATTTAGGATCCAGCCATTAAAGACTGAACAGCATTAGATTAGTAGCAAAGGAGAGTAAACAGTGTTTCTTTTCTTCTTATGAATAGCTTTGATGTAAATATATACAGAGAGGAATATAAGGCGGTTAAAGGACATCTTGTTACTTTTCAGGGGATTAAATAGAAGACAGGAGAGGTTAAGCAAAGTTGAGAGTCCAAAAAATAATAATGAAGATGACCAGAAAGGCAAAAACAGAGGGATGGAGGAGAAAGAGAGGATGAAAGGCTTATGCTCTGAGAGAGACTACAAGAAGGATAGCAGGATGAAAGGAAAGGAAGCAAAGTAAAATGAAGTGGGTGGAGGTTGAAAGGGAAGGAAACATACAGGATGAGATTCAGAGGTGAAGGACTTAGTTTCAACCTTTGTATGAGTGTGGAGTCCGAAGCAGGAAGAAAGGACAAGAAGAAAGACAACCGGGAAAAGAGCACGGCCATGTTTGTTTCCTACAAGGTTGAAATGTGTTGATGGTTGTTTTGTGTGTGTGTCTGTGTTTTTCCATTTTGCTCCCATATGAGTGTATGAGTGTGTTTGTGTTTAATGACAGGCCAACTCAATGCTTGCACTCATTCCCATCCATCCGTAGCAAAGCATTGGTATCATCGTGTGTGTGTGTGTGTGTGTGTGTGTGTGTGTGTGTGTGTGTGTGTGTTACTACATAAAGTTCTGTATCTACCGGGGTCAGGCAAGGGACGAATGTGCCTTCTGTCAATTTTAAACATGCTGAAATTAAAAGCCAGAAATATTAAATATTGAATTCTCAAAAAAATACATATTCAATTTGTTGGCCCGGATATTTATGCAAACATGGGTCATTCATTTTTAGAAATCATCTCTGTGGATTTGAGATTCTCCTACTCTTTTTTTTTTTTTTTTCCTTTTTCCTCACCACCAACAAGAAAATAGTTATATCCGTTATTTGCTCAAGAGCTCTATTTCAAATATCCAACCATTCCAAAAGAGAAAAAAAAAAATCAATAGCACTGATTGATCGTCGGCTATTTTCTTCCCCTTCCTCCTCCACAAGCCGCCTTGTGTGTGTACAGTATCTGTGTGTGTGTGTGTGTGTGTGTGTGTGTGTGTGTGTGAGAGAGAGAGAGAGAGAGAGAGAGAGAGAGAGAGAGAGAGAGAGAGGGAGAGAAGTCGGGGAGTAGAAGGATGAATCAACTATCTGTGCTCCCACCCATCCACACACACACACAAGCATGCACACACCCCGGGGCTCTAAATCACACTCATCTGTTTGTGTTGACATATACAAGTTGTGGTATTAGAGAAGAGGACAGTAGGATTTATACACACACACACACATATAGTACACAGTGTAAAACCACGTCCAGTCCAGGGATAGATTTGATAGATGAAGGGAGGAGATGTGATGACGTGAGAGGGTGGAGTGATGAGCAGATGTCAGCGGAGGCAGGAGTGATGAAGATAACGGCAGAAAGAAAAAGACAATGAGAGTAGCAAAGGATAGAGACAAACAAATGTGAGGATTAAGGGATGAAAGGATTGTTAAAGGAATGAAAAAAATGATTAACTCATCTCGACACCTGGATGAGTGAGATCATTGCAACATCTTGTGTAACCAGAATATCACGAGTCACAAAAATAAACCAGCCGATGACATATATATTAGTTGCAGACAGAATTTTAAGTGATGGCTAATCCAATACCTCTTGTTTGATCGGCAGTGGGCCCTCTGATTGGTCGATACTGCGGGACCAGGGTGCCCCCTGAGATCCAGTCATCTACTGGGATTCTCTCTCTGTCCTTCCACACTGACATGGCTGTGGCTAAAGACGGCTTCTCAGCGCGATACAACATGACGCACAAGGAAGTCAGTGAGAGTAAGTAACATAGTAGTGTGTTTTTTTGAAATGATTCTTTAATAACAAAAACTGCAAGAACATTGGTGTAAATCTCTTCCTCTCCTCCTCCCATCCTCTTGTAGCTTTCCACTGTAGTAATGCATTCGGTCTGGAGTCGGGAAAGATCACAGATGACCAGATCACAGCCTCGTCAAGTTTCTACGATGAACACTGGCTGCCACGACAGGCCCGGCTCAACTATCATGACAACGGATGGACGCCCAATGAAGACAGCAACAAAGAGTACATACAGGTACGAGTTTTGGAGCCGTGGGTCAATGAATTCATAGATGGTCTTATGGGTCCATTGATAAGGTTGCCGTGGACACATCGATGCTTTATGGACCTGAATCAATGACACTTGCAACCACTCACATGTGAATATGAACAGCTATTAAAAAGTTTAACTGATCGCTTCATCTCTGGGAAACATGAACCGAAATCACACCTGCTCCTCAACATTTCCCCCAGAAATATGTTTACATAAAACTAATTTCAAACAGCAAACACATGTTAAGGAAACAGAATGCACACTGGATCACATTTTCCATTAACATGATAAGGAATCATTAATTAATGTATCTGTTAAGTCAGAATTAGAATCAAGGAGACTAGATTGATTTGAGAACATCAAAAGCTTATTTATATTAAAAGTTTTGAGGCGTTTTCCTTTTTTTTTTTTTTTGCACATCCGACATCCCAACCCTGAAATGCAGAATCTTAGTCTTGAAAAAGTTTTCGACGCCTAAACTAAAAACACTCTTGCGTTGACATGTCACACATAATAACTCCACCACAGCTATATTTGTGTCAGCGTATATGTGAGTGTGTGTGGGAGCGAGAGAGAGAGAGAGAGAGAGAGAGCAAGCGAGCGAGCGAGTGGGAGGTGTAGTGATATCAAGGTTTAGCAGCTAGATGCCTGGGTAAGGCATTGTTTCCCGTATTTTATCACAGTGCCAACTTCCTGCCATCCCTGTGCCAAGTGTGAGTTATGAGGCTGTCTGGGTGAGAGGGGAAAGGGAGTGTGAGGTTTACTCACCCCTCAGACAGAAATGAATTCAAACCAGCCTGCGAGGCGCAATTCGGTGAGACGCCTTCTATAAACAACAGATTATCTTGTTGGGTGTCACCTCCTTGTAGCCTTGCAAAGACTGCCCACAGCTTTTTGCTATACTCATTGTCGACACGCTTTTTTTTTTTTTTTTTTTGAAATAGGTGTAAAGTCATGCATGGTTTCCCTTCATTATGCTATCAGTTTGAACCCTTCCTGTACCCAATGTAAGATGCAGACTTATCTATTTTTTATGATTTTAAGAGCAAGTTGCGAGAGCCAGAAGCTCATCATCGTTAAAATAATTTTTCATAGTTTGTGCCAACTGGTCAGGATGCCAGCTGCTTGACTCTCAGTTTTCCTGACTGAAATCCTGCAGCACAATCACCCCACAGAAAAGCTCACGAAGAATTAGGCTTTCTTTTGTGCAGCATACATATTCCATCTTCTCTAAAGCCTGTGATTAGACAACCCAAGATGTGCTGCTTCCAACAAAAACAAAAAAAAGGTCACAAGTGTGTTCAGTTAACAGTAAAGGAGCCAGTGAGGGATCGGTGTTTTGCTCAAAGAGACAAGAACCAGGCAAGCACCTCATCTGTTCATTTTTAGACACGGTGACACAATCACAGACAGCCACAGACAGATTTGGAATAGAAGCAGCAGTTCTGATTGTCAGAGCTCGACTGAGGCCAAACTCTGGACCAGCAAACGCAGGAAGGGACTGTGGCCAAGAGGCAGCATGAGGCCAAGGTCCCATCAGTCTCTTCCTTCCTGTTTCACCTCAACTGCAGCTGACAGCTCACTCTCTCCAGCCCCCTCTTACAATTAGCTGACATTAAAGAATTTGCTCAACATGAATCGCTTGAAAGACTCTCCATATTTTTTTCAAGGAATTCTTTTTTTTTTTTTTTTATAAAGCTCCTCAACTCATGAAAAGACCTCGGTTTCTGAATTATTGTTTGTGACATGTGCGATCTCGGCATAGATTTGCTTGGAAAAGAAGTTTCCACTTGTCCTATGTTGCCTCTCTGTCTCTCTCTCTGGTCACCGGTGTTGTGGTCGGGTCGCCGCGTTCCACAGAGGCTCTCAGCTGTTCCACTGCGTTAACACTTTGCAGAGAGCAAGACCCCTGCATGTGTGTGTGTGTGTGTGTACATAGGTATGTGCATACGTGCGTGTGCAACCTCCTGTCTTGACAAGCAGCTGTCATGAATGCCAACATGCCTCTCCTTCTTGCATGCAGCACCCCCTGTTCTCTTATAACGGAGTGTGTGCTCGTGTGTTCATGCGTGTCTGCGTGAGTGTGTTCGAGTGTGTGTCTGTTGATACGTGTGCCCACGCAGCTTAGGCATGTGTGTGTGTTGCTATGTTGGCTCAAGAGCCACGTGTGTCATTTAAATCTCTCTCCAGGACACTTTCTCTGACATTCTGTGATTCTATTCTGTTTTATTGTGTTCTATTCTGTTCTGTTATGTTCTACTATATTTTATTCTGTTCTATTCTATATGATTCTGTTCTGTTCTATTCTATTCTATCCTAGTCTACTCTGTTCTGTTCTACTCTATTTTATTCTGTTCTATTCTATCCTAGTCTAGTCAGCTCTGTTCTGTTCTACCCTATTTTATTCTGTTCTATTCTATATTATTCTATTCTATTCTGTTCTGTTCTGTTCTATCCTAGTCTCGTCTAGTCTTGTCAGCTCTGTTCTGTTCTACTCTATTTTATTCTGTTATATTCAATATGATTCTGTTCTATTTTATTCTGTTCTATTCTATATGCTTCTGTTCTGTTCTATTCTGTTCTATTTTATTCTGTTCTATGCTATTCTGGTCCAGTGAGGTGTGGTGCAGATTGATGATGTGAGTTCTGGTGGCTCCGTTATTATAACAACTCTGTGATTGATGAGAAGCCTTCCCTGGGAAGGCTCACTTAGCATACCCCTCTCTCTTTCTCTCTCTCTCTTTCTCTCTCTCTCTCTCTCTCATTCGCTCGCTCATTCATTCATTCTTCACCTCTTTCTATTCTCTCGCTCTCTCTCCTATTTCCCTTACTCCTCACCCCTCTTCTTCTCCCCTGTCCTCGGTTCCCGGACCATCGATTAGTTGTCTTGGTGGATCTCTGCCTGGCCCTAAGCATGCAGGCATTTCTCTGTGTGTGTGTGTGTGTGTGTGTGTGTGTGTGTGTGTGTGTGTGTGTGT